GCATGTACACACGTTGCCCTTCTAATTAGGGTTTAGTGAGTAGCTGAATGCAGTCCTGCTTTTCTGCCATTGATTTGATGATGAAATCTCAGGATAACTGTTGAGATGTAATTTGCAATACCCGAGGGTAAATTACAGGCATACCTCGGAGATATTGCGGATTCAGTTCCAGACCACCGCAATAAAGTGAATATCGCAATAAAGAGAGTCACACAAATTTTTTGGTTTCCCGGTGCATATAAAAGTTATGTTTACACTATACTGTAGTCTATTAAGTGTGCAATAGCATTATGTCTAAAAAAACAATGTACATACCTTAATTAAAAAATACTTTATTGCTAAAAAATGCTAACCATCATTTGTTGGAAAAATGGCGCCGATGGAAAAATGGCGCCGACAGACTCGCTCAACGCAGGGTTGCCACAAACCTTCAATTTGTAAAAAACGCAATATCTGCGAAGCGCAATAAAACGAGGTATGCCTGTACTAAAAAGTAAAGTGTCCCCTGGAGCCCACACTTAAGCTATACAAAGCTGAAGGGATTATCACGCTGCTGAGCAGGATGAACAAGTATCAACCTGAAGTTTCACCAGAGAGGGTTTAGGATGGAAAGCCTGACCCTGCCCTTCTGGGCCTTGCTTTAAATCAAGTGACTGGAACAGCCATATATATGGGTGGATGGGTCAGGCCAAAATTTTGTTATTGTGCTGAGCAGTGCTGAGGGTTGGGGTGGAAAGCTATGCTGCTAATCAGGGAATCTCAAGAGCCCATTTGGGCTACTCTTGGGTCTGGGGAAAAGAGTGGCTCAGCAGCCCTGACCGTAGGGCCTCAGAAGAGCAGGGCAGTCATTTATGTATCCATTTATCCTTTAACAATCCCAGTCAAGGCTCAAACCTAAAGTGAGCGATAATAGGACATCAAGCAGACTGACAAAGTACTTGCCAGTTTAGGAATTTCCTAGGCTGAACTTTCTCCCATCACTGAGTCTTGTTGAACAAGACAGGAAAAGGTACAGCTGGCTCTCTGGGGTATGCATCTATCTATCCCAAAAGGGAGCAGTTTGCATCCCTGACTGTAACTGCAGCATCAACAAGCAGTAGTAATGTAACTCAAACTGTTTTAGTCTGGTCAATGTAATCTGCAGGGCATATGAAGGGAAGTCATTATGGACGGTTTGCTAAAAACAAGCTCAGTGCTCAGCTGCCATTAAAAAAGCAAACAAAATGTTAAGGATTATTAAGACAGACATTGTAACTAAAATGGAAAGTATCATCATACCCCTTTATAAATCCATGGTGTGTCCACACCTTGAATAGTGTGCCCAGTTCTGATCCTCACCTCTCAAAAAAGGAAACAGAAGAACCAGAGGTCAACAAGGATGATGAGTGGTATGGAGGGGCTTCTGTATGAGGAGAGATTACACAGGCTGACTAAAGATCCTATTTGGCTGAGAGAGTTGGGAGGAGCTGGCTACTGACTGACTCCAGTGCTGCAGCAGCCTCAACCAAGCGGCAGACGGCAGCCTGTTTTGAGGTAAAATGTTTTGCCCTCGAAGCACAGAAGTGAGAACAGAGGAAAGAAAAGGAGAAAAATCTTAGCCTACGGCATGCTCTCCTCTGCAGAATGACCCACAACTTCTGTGAACAGGTCTGTGGCTTGAGAATTGGACTTTTAAGTCAGCTCAAGACACCATCAATTATCCACAGTAGAGATCATCCTTGAATCGGTTGATGATTAGGCTGATGATTAGGTTTAGAGTCCCTTTCTCTAAGGTACATCTCATGGGTACTCTGCACAATGTAATGATGGCACATGATTCTCTATAATCTTGCAACAAGTGTACAGGTCTCCCTTGCTTTATGTGGGTGCTGTATGTGCGAGTTGATACCTTTTTATACCAAATGACCTTTTTATACCAAAAATTTGTTATATGCAAGATAAATTCACTCTTATGCGATTGCGATCGGTGTGATGGAAGCCTGCAGTCAACTGCTTTGTGCGGTGCATTGTGGGAGTGACAGGCACCAAAATATAGTCTCCCGTGCACATCTGTGCTCCTCACTCATTGTCTGCAACATGCGTTTCTGTAGTTGCCATCCCCATTCAGGCTTCTATGCATCCCACTAGCTTATCTCCTACCCGTCTCTGCTGTTGGTGAGTAGCAAAATTGTCTTGTAAAAATGGTAGAAATGGGTCTGGGGGTCAGTACACTCGAGGTCTCGGAACGTATCCCTATTTGGTACATTGTAAGGTGGGTTCCCTTTACATGAATTTGAGTTATGCACCATTTTCCAGGAACCCATGTACAGCATAAAGTGAGGGAAACCTGTAGTAACTTATGCTTGTGCAAAGTTGGGGTAAAATACTTCCTCTCCGAGCTGGGGAGAGGAGCGTAATCACTACACAAAAGGCAAAGGCAGAGCTAACTGCTGCGTAGGACATAAAACATTTGCACAGGTGCTTCACGAGGACAGAACTTTTTATCAGACTGTTTTTATAAATGACTGTCCCGTAGGACTCAACAGGGCCCTCGGGATTTCCTCACATCCCGGATGAACATACGAATCAGAAAACTGGAGTGCAACCCTTCAGTGTTGCAACCCCCACGATCCTGCCTGGCTAGAGGGCCCTGCTCAAGTCGAATCCGATGAACTGGGAGGTAGAAAAGAGACACTGACGGGACATGAGACGGGTTTCGGCGAAGAGAAAGCAATCCCGGACGTAGCTGCTACCTCTGACATTGCACGACCCGGACACTGAGCGAAAACAGTAGGTGGAAGTTTAAATACACACTGCTGGAGCGCGGGGGAAATACAGCGCATGCGCGTTGCCGCGGGAGGCGCTGCGTGGAACGAGCCCCGCCCCCTCGGGGCCTGCGCCTGCGCGGTGAGGCGGCGGCGGCAGCGGCTCGGCCGAGGGGAGGGGTCGGAGTGCTGTGGTGACCCCCTGCCTCCTCCCCCACCCCCGCCGTCGGGGGCCGCAGCCGCTTTCCTGAGGACCGCGGACGGGGCCGGTGCGGACGAGTGGGAGGCGGCGGCGCGGCCCGGTAAGGCCCGAGCCTGAGGGGGCCGCGGGGGGGGGTCGCGCAGCCA